GGTTTAGCACAGTTTTAGGTAGGAAGGTGCACAGCAGGTGCTGTATAGCACAGAACTGCTCCAAAGGAATCCAAGTAAAAGAACATGGCACACAACTGCCGGGACCACGATCTCTTTCTTCACTGCAAGAAAGGCATTCATGCAGTTCATGCTCCCACGGGCCAGGCCAGAGCAGAATGGAACTCAGCAAGGCTCCTCATGCTGCAGGGAAATAATGTGAGGACACGCTACAGGATCCTGGTGTCCTCAGAACAACAACACAGAGAAAACAAGGGTGGAATGCACTCTATAAACAACGAGGCTATTTCTCACATTAAGCTGAAAAGACAGAAGGCCTGGCTTCAACTTGCTACTGTTGCTAAATATTGCGTGTACTGTCAGCTATCAGAACAAGTGTATATTTTACCTTTTAGAAAACAATTAAACCAGGCTTTGCTAAGGAAAGACATGCATATATTGTCCTGCAAATCAAGGCCAGAACATAGGAGGCAAAGAATCTGTGCTGCAATCTTGAGAAGCATTTGGCTTTCCAAGCTTGTCCCTGAAGTGGCACACACAGGCAGGTCTGGGAACAGAAGGGGCAGCACCCAAGTAAATGAGGCTGACTTCTGAATCACAGTTGCATCAGTGGGTGAGAGGGAGAGATGAGGATAATGGCAGGGAACTACTTATTCCATCAAGAAAGCTTTACTTTGGTCCTGATTTGTATCAACAACAGTGTCGGTCACACATATCAGGTTGAGGATGTGCAAGAACACCACTTTGTTACTTTGCCAGAGGAAAAAACAAAACAAAACAAAAAAAACAGCTGGCCCTTTAGATTGTTTTCAGATGATTTTAACTACATTATGTAAAGAACTTGCCCCAGAGCAAGTAAATACAGTTTGAAAGGCAAGTTCAACACCTCCATTAATATGTCCTCCCCAAGATCTCCCACTGAGCACTACCCATGGCTAGCTGAGCACAGCCAGAGCAACTTGCATCACTCTCTGAACAGCAGCCTTGGAGTCATTAAGTTCCCTTAGTTCCTGAGGAGGGTTAATGACAAATTACACAGCTGTTTCTACAAAATGTCCCCTGCTATAAACAACAAAGGACAAACTGATCAGATGTGGTGAAGCAGGAGTGCTGTGGATCACAGGGCAGAGAATATACTGCTGATGACTGGGTAGGAGGTCATAAAATCATAGAAGAGTTTGGGTTGGAAGGGACCTTAAAACCAGTTCCAATCCCCTGCTGTGGGTAGGGCTGCCCCCCACCAGATCAGGCTGCCAAAGGCCCCATCCAGCCCAGCTTTGAATGCCTCCAGGGATGGGCACCCACAACCACTCTGGGCAACCAGGTCCCAGGTCTGAGCTCAATTCCTTCATTTCCAAGACATTTACGCTGCGTGAAGCAGCCTACTTCCTTAACAAAGCCAGGCTATTGCAGTCAAATGTTCATTTGCTGTTCTAATGAAAACTCTCCCCATCACTTCCAGTATTAACAAAATGTTCCACTGGGAGAATGACTAAAGTGAGATGTGCAGAGCTCTTGTACTCCCCAAGAGAATCCTCATGAAAGACACACCTAGAAGTCAGCCATGGATATGCCAGCCAGGCTAGTCTGCTGCCTGGCAAGCTGTATCTGATAACCACTGGGAGATGATGTGACCCAGAGCGGCTCACAAACTTTCTAGTAGCTCACCATAAGGACAGAGATGTATAAAACCCACTCATTTTCTACAAGAATTGCCTAGAATGTTTAACAGCATTGAATCATTACATCCACAGAAGTAACTTCCACAAAAATGTTCTTGGGTGAACATCTCCCTGTTCCTTGCCAGCAGTGAGACCTTTCCACAAAGATAAGTACCATCTGCTGCTACACCACGACACAAGTTGCATGTGCTCTGAAATAAGATGCTGGTGAGAGTCAGGAAGAATGTCATTTATATTCCTTCTGCTATCACACAGCTTCTTCAGAGCGTAGCACCGCACAGCTGGCCATGTATTGCAGAGGAGCTGGCACTCATCTGCATCAGCAGGCACTTCTCACTGCAGCAGGCAGAACAGAACAGAGCGTTTGATGGATACCAGCGTGGTGCCCTCTGTGGTGCTGCCTCTGCTGGGGTTTCTCCCTGCCTATGTCCACAAGGAAGGCAAAACCAATCCTACAAAGCCAGAGCCCACAAAGACTCCAACCCATTTGATTCTTAAGGACAGCCTCCGGTGAGGCTTCTTGAGCTGCTACAAGCTCTGAAGTCTGCTGTGGAAACGGTGATCTTCAAAAGAAGTTTGCAGCTGCTGCAGCAAGCATGTGTCCAGCTGCCCCCTATGACTACCTGCAAGAAAATCCATTCTGCTGCTTGTGAATGGCCAAACAGTTAATGCAACCAGACCTTACAAAATACTCTGGCGTAATTGGAACACTTCAAAGGCTCTTCAAAGGGTGGTGGGAGCTCCAAGTTTGGCAGAGAAGCTCCGTGATCATATGGAGACTTGGCTGACACACACACATTCCCCATGTAAAAAGCACTTTAGGCTCCATGCTGACCAACGTATGACACATGAAACAGGGCCAAGGCTACGCTCTGCAAAGCTCTCTGGTAACAGCAACAGGGAGCAGAAGCAGGAGCTTGGAACTAGATGACGCCCAGAGGTCCCCTCCAGCTCCCCGCAGTCCAGCAAAAAGAATGAGAATCTATTTCCATGTAACAGATGGACTAATTGCAGGACCTGAATGGCAGACTTCATTCCCCCAGATGACGTGTTATACCCTTCAGGCAGAGAGATTATCAGCAACTCACTCGATCTTCCTTTCCCAACGGAGAACCCAGAGAGGAAAGAGGTTTTAGTGGTTAGAGCCCATGTCTGGCAGCTGACAAAACTAGAGCTCAGGTTCTTTCTCTACCTCCAGCTTCCTGTGAGAGTGATGCAGTGCTACTGACTCAGTCTGTGGCAGATAGAGCAGCAGTGGTTTTTGCAGTTGGCTTTGTTTCAGTTGGTTTTGTTTTGAATGTCTATCAGCTTTATCCACCTCCTATGTCACAGAGCACCTCGGCTCCCACCTGCCCTCCCCATTTCCATCACTGAGCGTAAGGCAGTTTGCACAGTTCTTACTTAACTAATGAGGACAGTGCAATGCACTGAGGCTTCATGCCTATCACACATCAAGCCTTGCCTCCAACAAAAACAAATGTCAAAGTATAAAACACAAGAAGCGCTCCCAGCACCACCCACTGTCCTTCCTCACCCATGTTCACCCCCATGTTCTGTACTTAACATGGTGAGAACTACTACTCAACCGGGCTTCTCCTGTGAAAAATGACTGGACAGCTGTTTCATTTGTGAAAATGCAGCTTGTTTCAGAATATGTGAAACAATTCCATTTTGCATATGAAGAGAGATGAACTGCCAAAGGGTAACTGTATAAAGCTGGGAACAGACAATAAATCTGTCAACACAAATTCTTCCAAGCAATGAAAATGTGCAGTACAGCAGAACTGCAACCTTGCCTGTTCTGACCCATACCCAAAGAAGATACCAAATGTTCAGGTTCACTGTTGTCTCACAGGAACAGGAGCATTTGACGACACATGCTTCTAATTAAACAGCTTTCAGCAGTTACCACCAGAGAAACCACCCCAGTAGGCTCCCACTTAAACAGAAAAGCTTTGTCCAAAAACAAGGTTCTGCAGGTTAAGCCTGTGCATGACTTTGAGCAGGGCTATGCAAAGACATGACGGCACCCTACACTATAAAAGCATAAGGCAACACCATGGAGAGCTGAGGAACAGAGAAGAAAGTTCTCCTTTCCCATTCAGTCATTGCATTAGGATCTTTTTGCTCAGCCCTAGAAGATGGGACTAAGGAGAGCGATGCTGGATCTCTCCTTTCTCTAAGGATGTAGGATCTTTGTGCAAATCCCTGAAATGCAGAAAATTGAATCAAAAGCGATCTGCCTCCACTGTAGGTCATCATCAAAAGCAAATCAACCAAAAAAACTCCTATAATCTAGGAGTCTTTTTTATTCTTCCCTGTTTAATCTTGTTAAAAAACAAAGGCTGCTTTATAGAGAAGAACTGCCAGGTGAGATGCAGCAAGAAGACATTCCAGCTTACCACAGGCCAATAAACTCCCAAGATATTTTCACCATATGTACGTTTGCACAAATCAAAAGATTATGTCCAAAATCTCCAAGCCAGGGAGACATTTACAGCAATTACAAATGAAGGTTGCTGGCCACACACCTCCATGCTTTGCGATTTTGATAACTTGAAGGACGTGGAAATCACCACGCGTGGTGGGGGGGGAAGATTAGCAAAGTCTATTTTTCTAAACAAAAGGAGAATCAAACACAGTAGCAGCTCTCCTAGCCCTTGCTGGCATTTCTGTGATAGGTCCCTCACAGACAATAAGATTTCTGTAAGCCATATACCAAGCTAAACTTAAACCATTAGAACATACAAGAAAACATCCTTCCCTCTCCTTACTCTCAGTGATTTCTGTGGCTGCCAAGGCAGCACAGCTAACCAGCATAGGTTAACAACTACTGCAAATATCACTTTGACTTTGTACCAAAGGCACAGAGGTGAAAAGTTGCATTATTCCTATAACTTGTCTTTCACGTTCCATATAGGGTTCAAATACAGAATTTTTTTACAGCACCCTCAGATGCTTCTATGCTTACCGCAGTCTCAATTTTTACCCAGCAGTACAGCAATAGAAAATAAAGGTTTCATTTCTGAAACTTTATCTGCTTTATCTTCCCATCTATATTATTTGATCAAATAAGACACCACCTTCATTTCCAAGTTTTGCCAACATCCCTTTCAGGGTGCATGGGAACTGCTGAATCACAGCCTGAACCTCTGATTGATCACCTGAGGCGAGCACCGAGTCAGCCTTGGGAGCACAGGTGAAGGCAATTCACCTGTGCTGCTGGAAGGGGTGAGCCTGGCTGCACCTCTCCTAGACCCATTTAAGAGCTGGCTACCAGTAAGGAAGGATCTCTTCTGGAGATCCCTCTTCTAGAGTTTTGCAGTGGCCCCAGGATATGGGTAAGCTTTCTATCTATTCTCTTTTTGTTATTATAATTTGCTTAGCTAAAGTCTCTGATTTATTTCATAATTATAACATCTTTATATTCATTGATTATACACAGGGGTACTCATCCTTTCATGTGTTTGTTTTTCCAAAACTGAAATCTCTGAGTTATAAGTCCTCTCTCAACTTACAACACCTGGACTGGAAGCTACAGTAGGCGCTTAGTCCCACTCTTCCAGATGTTGTGAACTGTGAAAAGCAGCTGACAGACTGAACCCCTTAAAAAGTCTTAGCCATTGATTTTACGCCAAAGGTATTCTGTAACAAGGGGAACACTGGACTAGAAATACCAAAAGAATAATAAGAACAGCCCTGACTCAGGTCAGCACGCACTAATTATCTGAGCCAAGAGACTGTCAGACATAGGCTGCCCAAGCATGGACAACAAAAACAGAAATAAGGACATGTAGAATCATCTGAGTTGGAAGGGACCTTTAAAGGTCATCTAGCCAGTCTCCCCTGCAATAAACAGAGATACATACTGCTAGATCAAGTAGGATCTCCTGTCGCTCTTGTCAATATGCTGAACGGTGTTCAGAAGAATTCAGCTCCAGCCTAATCAAATATGAACCTAATTCCATCTGTAATAGCCCAAGGCCATTATAAGCCAAGAATCAACAAGTGGAACAGGCTGCAACTGAATGAAATCAAACATACAGCGAGTGGCATGCAAAGAATTAAATAATTTGCATTTGAATTAACGTGTACCTCCTGCCTTCTAAATGCCGCCTTTGCTCCAAAATCAGTTTGCTGTAGGAGTATCTGCAAACCTGGAATGAGAAGAGGCTATAAATATTGATGAGTGAGGATATAGGCAGTCAACATTGAGGAACAATGCTTCTCCTTCTCAAAGCAAGTGTAAGAGCCTCAGAACTACACATCAGACAAATTCAACTCATGGGCTGGGAAGTCTCACCAAATGGTTCTCATGACCTCGGCTCACAAATCCACCCCTGCCCTCTTGGCAGCTCTTGCTCCCATTACAGATTGTTCAGCCATGCACAACGCAGCAGTAAGTTGCATCAGAGAGCTGCACCAGCTGAGGAACAGATACACAAGGTGAGCTGGCACCAATTCATGTTTCCTTGATTCAGTAAGATGCAGCTAATGGTAAAACTTCTGTAATTCCGAAGTTTGTATTTTTACAAACAAAACCCAGCCCTGAGGCCAGCACGTAGACCTAGGTCAATCTACTCACTGCAGACAGGTAGACTGAATGCTGAAGCACTTCTTTAAAAGATGCACTTTGACCTTTCACAGAAATCTGCCTTTAGATTTACACAGCAGGACCCAACCTACCAAGGATGAAGTCCTACTAAACCTCTCATGGTACCAGAAGAAGGTGCATTTTATTTGAATGTAGAATAGACAGGACATGCTTCACTTTACTGTTTACACTTAGTTCTAACATCTTTGCTCATTCATCTTGTTATTAGTGGCAATATACGTAAGGAAATACATAAACACAGTAAACAACTTTGTGCATGAATTGTATTTACAAATTCTCTTTTACATCCAGTCATGAAGATGAATCACTGCTATAGGAAATTCAGCATCAGCCCTGTGTTCATTGGATATGTTCAGTGGTAGCAACTGTAAACGTGAATGCTTGAGTGTACTGTGGGATATACCTAATGGATCACAACTGTGGAGCAGGTACTTTAAAGCTGGAAGGAACCTTTGATAACAGTACATTTCTGCAAATCAATGGATTTATTCCAAGACATGTAATAAACTAAAAGCTACTTTAACAGAATGGTTTGCAGTTCCCAGTCAACCCCCAGGGGACCATTTGCCCACTCTACTTTGCATTACATCTGCTTCCAGTTTCAGAGGGGTCAAAGACCAAGTGTAGAACATACAAAGCAGAAGGAACAACGTGCTAATAGCACCAAGACCTACAGCAGCAAGGCAGAGAAAGAACAGCCCCCATCCCATTAGCACATTCTATTTCCATTTTATTCCAAAACTCTCATTCAGATATCCCTTATGAAGATGGGTAATCAATACAGGAAATACACTTCTGTTACAGCTGAATGTTCACTGAATAGACTCCATTGCATCCTGCTCAGGAGCAGCTGTAAGCATGCATGCTTTGGGTGCAACATATTTAACAAGTATTGTACACAAGGGTCTTCTACTACCACTGACAGTACTTACCATTTTTAAGGGCAGTTTTTCAAAGCAGCAGCCACAGAAACACAAATCCAACTTCCGGATATAACGAGATTTCTGAGTTCAATAAACTCCCTTCACAACAGACAGAAGAACGAGTGGGAATCTACAAATACACCCGATCCAGTCAAAAGCTGCTCTCTAAAATAGAAATTAACTCAGTACTGTGCAACCCTACTTCCATCTGGCAGCGAAGCCATCTGTGTTACAGATCCATGCAGGCTATGTGCTTCTTTAAAATTCAAGCAGCAAGTGACCCTAAAGAAAGTTATCGGGTGTTTCCACGCCAGCTACCTGCCTTCAGCACCAGTTCTTCAAACATACAAAGTTAAACAAATAACTTCATGCGTGAGAGAGTAAGTCTAGCAGAACCAATGGAACTTGTGACCTACACAAAATGAAGTCACATAACTGCTGGCAGGCTGATGATATTGCACTTCCATATCAATATTCCTTTAACCAAAACTCAACAAAAAAGTCAACATTTTCTCCTTCATCAGAGATGAAGCTGCTTGCACTTCAACATAGTGGGCACCACCAGTCCACATAGATCCTTGCTGGCCGACAAAGTTGCCCAAAGGTATGGATCAACATGGCACCATCCTAACAACTCAGCATAAACCATTCTAGACAAGTTCACATACTGGGTTCACTGTCCAAAATAAGCTCACCTGAGACACATATACACCAGACGTTGACAAAAGCATGATTTCAACCACAGCACATGCCTGCTCCAACAGTCTGGAATCTCAGAGATGGTCACCACAGCCAGAATACAGAGGTCTTGCCATATCTATGCAGCAAATACAAATTGTAGGCGACTCTCTGCAGAGATGAAAATCAACACCCAAAATAATTACATCTGGCTTCAAGGCTTCAGGAAGAGTTAACACAGCTTTTGTATCAGGAAATTGTCATTGATATCTGAGAAATCTCCGAAGCTATTCATTACATGCGAACTAAAAAAATTTAAGATGCTCCAAAGGAGAAAGGACAGGAAGGCACACTGCTCCGTTATTAAGCTTCTTGAGGTCAAAGAGTGACAAAAACTCAGATAAAGATTCAGAGAAGTTACTGAACAATCCTAGAGACAACATCATTTTTTCCAGATCAGCTGAGACTCTGTTCAGAAACAAAAGGACATGATAACCTAAAAGAAAACTGAGGAAAGAAAAGTCCTGAATCAGCACCATTGAGAAAAGCATAAAAATGTTTACAGCAACACTTTCTGTTTATTAAGTTAGCAATTAGGCCAAAAATCAGAAGACCGTCAGTAGATAACTAGGGAAAAAATAGGGATGCTCTTTGCTCCAATGTGGGGAATTTTAACTTATCATTGGACATTTCTCAACCATTAGAAAGCCTCATCCTCTACTTGCTAAGTAAGTCCACCTCCTGTTTGTCATTGGGTGAGAAATTAGAGAGATCTTCCATGGCATTTTCCAACAGGCTCTCCATTTTGAGTAGATATAGGAACCTAAGTCCCGACAGCCCTGCCCACTGCGACGAGTCCTCAGAGAGGGCATGTGTAACTAAGCCAGCAAAAAGAGAAGCAGATACCATAAATGGTTTCCACACACAGCACATACATGTACAGAAAGGTCATCTTTGTAACACAGGTCAGCCTACAGCCAACACTGCATCAGTTCAGAAGAGCAGAGCCAGGATGGATTGGTCATCCCTTATCTCATGGGGTGGAGCAGGAGGAACGGGAAGACTGAACAGTCTGCCGATAGCTGTAAGAGGAACTGGCCAGAGTTCCCCATCTAATGGACTTGTTTCACTGTAGAAACCATACTGAGGGTAGAAATCACACAATCATTTGTAACCAGGACTTGCTGTCAAGAGTTCTCAGGCCTTTAAAAGAAGCAAAAGCCAGTAAAAGCCAGCATACAAATGACTACAGCTGAAAGCATGGGAAAAAAAAAAAAAAGTGTAAAATATGATTGTATGCAACCACTCCCCTGAGACTGTCAAAGCATTTTCCCAAAGAGATGGTAGAGCACAGAGGTTTATCCTGAGCACAGAGGTTTATCCTGCTATTTAATACAGAGAAGCCAAACAAAGAAAGATAGAGAAGACGACTGGGCTAAGGAACATGCTTAATCCTATTAAATTTAATGAGATTTCAGCCTGGTCTTCACATACAAGTTGTATTCGGAGTTTAAGTAAGTGGATTTAAAGCCAGATTTATTTAAAGCAGTGCAAAATCCTCCCCATGCCCAAGAAATATAAATCTAACACAAATATACACACAGAATTCAATGAGAACATTCATCTGTTTCACCGAATTTTCTTCTCTAACTTTTATTATTATTATTTCAAGCAAATTTTAAACCCTTCCATCTTCTCTGTCTGAAGTGTACGCTGAAGATCTTCTGCCCAAGCACTTCTCCATGCTGAGCATCATCTCCCTGGCACTTCAGGAAGGCAATCCCAATGCCTTCCTTCTGCAGTTCATCCTCTCCACTGGTACAAGGATGCATCTCCCACATACCAAGCCAGGCAAGCGTTCCCTGTCATGCTTTGTACCACACAGCAGTCTGTCTAAAGGACTCAGCAAGGCCTGTCACGCTGATGAGTCACTCCAATGCACATCCACCTAACAGGCATAGGAAGAGGGCTGTCCTTAGAAGAAGCAGTGATGGCTGTGAAGAGGGTTCGGAGAAGAAATATGGCATTTGTACACTGATAACCTCCCCTGTCAAGGTGACCCAACAGTCCCACCCGGTGACATTCAGCAGCAGCTGTGGCAGTGCAACAGCACCTCCACTTCTCAGCACCAAAAGTCAAAATCAGATCACAGAGGCAAAGCCCACAGCAGCAGAGAAAAGCAAAGCCATCAAAGGTAGTAAAAAAGCTGCCAGGACTTCTGGCACCTGCACTGCCTGAATTCAAAATGGACCTGAGGAGGCCTCATTGCAGGCCTACCCAAGGTAATGCCAAACCCAAGGCACACAGCCCTGCAGCATGGACTCCACTGGAAGGAGACAGCACTTGGCCAAGGACACTTTATTGCAGGCACTACCCTATGCCACCTGCGAGGCAGCCTTCTTGGAGTACCAGCAGCCAAGAGCTGGAGGAGCTGTGAGTGACATTTGCACAGCACACAGCTAGCTTCTGCCAGTTTCATTTCCAGCATCGCTGTCATGCCCATAGTGCCAGCAGCATCCTTACAACTACAGCTGTCAAACTCACAAGCTTCATTAATTCCTCCAAATCTCGTTCACAAAATGAAAATGGTAAATTCAGTCCAAAGCAACATGACAGATAGGAGGAAAAAAAAGCATGAAGTGCTTGTAAATTCCGTGCAGTTCACAATAGACTCAAGGAATATCGCACAGTTAACCTTGGAAGACCTCTTGGCTTTCCAGCCAACAAACTCAACAGCCCTTTGGGAGCTATCCTCAACATCCTGAACACGCAGGGTATCAGTAGCAGGGTGGCTACCATGAATCAGAATGAATTGAAACCTCTCCAAGCTAAGAACACACAGTTTGGCTTCCAGCACAGCACAAACCTAAAATTCCATCCAGCAATCACTGTGCAGAGCAGGGGTTCTCTCACCTGCCAAAGAAATAAACTTTGTGCCAGGTATATGTGTTAATGGGATGAACATCCCCTTCAAAAAGTCACCTGGCATTGATGGAAGCCTTTCAAAGGGCGGGCAGTCAGCTGGCATGGGCTGCCATGGTTCTGCACAGCAGCTGTAGCAACTTGCTGCAGTTGAAGATCTGTACAGAAGCGCTGAAGGAGGAAGCAGTGGGTTTTTCAGCTTTCCCATTGCATAATTGCTCTTAATGTTAGGAGTTTGTACCAAACCTCAAGTAACAGCTCAAGGGGAACGATGAACTAAAACAGCGCATTGGCTGAACACGGCCATGACAGCAGATTTCCAACCCAGTAACAGGTCAGAGCAGAAGGGCTGCAGCACACCTGTAAAGGGAACACCAAATACTTTTAACACCAAGCACAGCACTGCTCCAAGCCCACAACGTGCACATCAACCAGGATGAAGCAGCCTCTGCCACACACCTGCTTCTCTGGTGTATGAACACACAGCTTCAGGTTCATTCCTCCTACTTCCATGCTCATTTCTTACTTTAAACACACTGGCGTGAACTCTTGTTGGGCTTGCTTTATAGTGCTTTCTATTTATGAAACTGGTTCAAGTGTGAATGACAGTACACAGGACATGTGTTTGCTTAATGCTACACACCAGAGCTCAGGAAGATGTCAGCAGGACTGTGTACTAAAAAAAAAAGTTTCCTATGGGCCATCCAGGGACCAAGGGAGGCAAAAACCTACCCCCAAACCAATCCATTCTTCAGAGTTTCATCAGGCAAAGTTTTGGACATTCCCTCCACACACCACCTAAACCAAATACCTCCATTCTCTAACATCCCTGCAACATTTTCCTTTAAAAACTTTGTCACCCACTGCTGAAGAAGACAGCTATTACATTTAAAAGGGCACTTGCCTTATAATCCAGGCTGCCCAGCAAGAGATTTTAAAATACATTATCAGGCCTTCAGCATGGACAGTTTTCATCACTGAAGCTTGAAATTTCAGTTGCAAATTTACTTTTATCACCTTTGAAAAGTCTGCGCCAGGAGACTTCATTTGGAAGGCTGAGGCTGCGGGTTGCACAGAGGTTCCAATTAGAATTTCATTAGCAGATAACCAGATGCAAAGTCTGCTTTCTGGCAGATGATTTCACAAATCCAGCAGGGAATTTACAACTAGAACAAAAAAACAAAGATGCCTGCACCTACAAGTTAAGGGACACGTAGTCCAAACTTTTCCCCATGAAAATACAAAAAGGATCTGTGCCTGTAAATGTGTATGATGCATTTCAACAATAACCAAGCAGGATATGCACACAGCAAGTGCACTGATCTACTTTAGACATGAAAGCTAATAAAAATGGAAAGATCCCTTGTAAACCACCCATTACTATGTAATGGACTGCACTAACATACCTATAGCTGATGATTATGGTGAATGAA